GTCGCTAAGGCGTATGGCGCAAAGGCGGTGCACGAGGAGACGTTCCGCGTGTACACGACCACGCCCGTGGACGAGTCGGAGAGCAACAACGCCATCAAGATGGAGGCGCGCCCGCGAGTCGCTCGCGCGCCTCGCACCCAGCCTCGGCAGCACGTGCCGCCGCCGATCCCCGTGGCTCGCGGGCCGGGCGCGGGCTTTCATCTCTCCTCAGTTACAATTGGACCTGGAGCAGGTTGGGATTGAGGACTGCCTGCACATTGAGTTTGAGTACAACAAGTCCCGCTACCACTTGCGCGAGGTCGTCCTCGGCAAAATCTTCTTCCTCCTCGTGCGGATACGGATCAAGTGCTGCCACGCACCCTCCCGACGGACACCTCCGAGACACTTCCGACGCACTTCCTCTCGCACGGATTGGCCTGGCAGCCACGCGCGCGCGCGTGCCGTCGCCGTCGCCGCCGCCGCCGCCGCCGCCGCCGCCGCAGCGCCCAAAGTCGCCAGGGGGCGGACGGACGCCTTCATGCTGACGGATGCCTTGATGCTGCAGGCACATGGAGCTCGCCATCATCAAGCGCGAGTCGTCGGGCGTCGGCGCGAACGCCTACACCGAGTCGGACACCGTCGCAAAGTGCCGCGCCCGCCTCGCGCCTCGCGCCTCGCTCCTCCTCCTCCGTCCTCGGTCCTCCGTCCTCTGGTGCCCAACTGGCGTCTGGCGCCCCGTTGCAGGTATGAGATCATGGACGGCGCACCTGTGCGCGGCGAGGCGATCCCGATCCGCCTCTTTCTTTCCGGCTTCGACCAGCTGACGCCCACGTTCCGCAACGTCAACAACAAATTCTCGGTGCGCTACTTCCTCAATCTGGTTCTGGTGGACGAGGAGGACCGCAGGTACTTTAAGCAGCAGGAGGTCTTCTTCTACCGCAAGGGGCCGTAGCTCCGCGGCTGCGCACCGTGCAGTTCACGGGGGCGGCACTGGCGCGGCTGTGTGCGCTCAGAGCGATTGAGCCACCGCCGCGTCCATGTACACCGGTCTGCTTAGCTCCGAGCGGCGCCGCCTCTCTGTCGTCTGGCCCGCCTGGGCTGCTCTACCCTCTATAGTGGAAAAAAGGTAAAAGGTGACATAACACGATACACTCTTGTCACTTCACATCTTCACACACACTCACACACACACGCACCCCGCCCACACTACTGCACACACATCACAGTGACACTGGGCTTAAGGGTATCGGGGCCTTCGGGCAGCGTGCGGAGCGCGCCCCCGTGCCCGCGAGGGCGGCGCGGGCCGGCATGGCCGCCGCGCCGCCGCCTGCGCGCCGCGAACCGGCACCGCCGGGCCGCCGCAGCGGTCAAGCACATGTGCTGAGTGAATAGCAGCGGGGCTCGGGCGCCCTCACCCGCAGATGTTAAAAGTCATGCACATTTTAATACTTGTAGTAGCGTAGAAAGTAGGAAAAGTGGGTAGTGGGAGATGCTCCCCCCATGCCGGGCTCACATATATTTATGCGACATGGGAACACGGGCGCGAACTTGGCGGTCCCGCGCCCCCCCCGGCCACCGCGCGGAGCGCGCACCGGAGTAAATCCGCCGAGAAGAAAAAAAGCAGCCGCGTCGTCATGTGCACAGTGTGTTTACACCTCAGACGCGCAGGTCCCCACGCTAATCCAACCCCCCTATCGCCTGGCCCCGCCACGCGTCGCCGGCCGCGACAACGACGCCGCTCTGGACGCCCTCACAAAAGCGAGCGAATCTGGAGCCTCCGCCAGGATCCGCTCCAGCTGCAGTTTTTCGAACAGTGCCTCCTCGTCGCCCGCTGCAAGACCGTTCGAGACCGGCACCGGCGCCGTCTCTGGAGGTTGGGTCAAGCTCGTGCCCCGCCAGCCCTCGTACCGCGCCAGCGCTTCCTGCCGTAGAGCCGTCTCCTCGTCAGCCTTTGCCTTTAGGCGGGTGGCCATCGCCGTGAGCCTCTCGTACTGTTCGCGGTATCGCGCCTTCGCCTCGCGCAGGCGCTGGAGGAGGGCGTACTCCTCCTCGTCGATTATGAGCGTGCCATCTGCACTGATCGAGGCCGCGCCGGCTCGTGTCCGCGCCTCCGCCTTCGCCTTGCTGCCCTCGCGGCACCGATCGATCTCTGCCTTGGCCTCATTCACTGCGGCCGCCAGGGACCTGTGCTGCCGCTTCAAGATGCGCACCTCCTCCCTCGCCGCGCTAAGCGCCTCTTGGACCAGCAGGCCCGGCCCCTCCTTGTAAGAATCAAAGGCGGGCGGCTCCTCTTGCCACCCAGCCTGCAGCTCGCGCGAGTCCGTCGCTAGCGACGCTCGCGCCTCCCCGGCGGCCACAAAGGCTTCCCGTGGGACGCCGACGATGCCGCCGGCTGGCACAGCGTCGTCCTGGGCGAGCCCGACCGAGATGCCGCCTCCTGCCTCCAACTTGCCGTCGTCCGTGCCGACCCCCGCGCGATCTTCGACCTGCGGCTCGGCCGAGGCTGGCGCGTGGTCTGCCGACCCGTCGGCGGCCAGCTTCTGCTGCAACTCCTCCAGCCGGCTCGAGCTCGCGCCGTAGAGCGAGCGTGCGGCGAGGAGCATCTCGTCAAAGTCGCGGATGGACTTTGCTTGCAGCTCTCCGCGGCCCTCCAGGTAGGCGCGGACGCGCTCTTCCATCTCGGTGCGCTGCGTGGCGGTCAGCGGCGTGTGCGATGCGCGGGGCCGGTCCGCGAGGGAGTCGCGCATCGCGAGCTCCCGCTTGAGGTCCGACACCTCCCGCTGGTACTTTTGCAACAGCGCCGCCGGCCCGAGCTCCTCCACGACCGAGGCGCTGTTGACGACTGCGCGCGCGCGGGCGGCGAATTCGAGCGTCGCGATGGTCTCCTCGAGATGCGCCGCCTGGCCGCTCATGTTTGCAATCAGCAGCGTCTTTGAGTTGCCGCCGATGGCGTCCCTGAGAAGGTGGGTGAGCTTTGACCTCCGGTAAGGCACGTGGCCCCGCGAGACGGCCGCCGCCACGACCACTTGGTCGAGGTGGGTGAGGGACTGGTTGATGTAGACCGACTCCCCGCGCAGGCAGCCGGACGTCTGTGTCTTCTTCAGCCGTTCGGAGCCGGCCAGGTCGACGAAGACCAACTTTGCGCGCGTGACGCGCCCGCTCGACTCGACGCGCGAGCGGAACTCCATCGACAACGTGAAGACTGCGTGCCCTCTCGAGGAGCGGTCGTTGAGCTGGTGGCAGGAGACAGAGCGCCGTCTTTCACCGGTAAAGAGCACTTCGAGCGCCGCCGCCTCGTCCGCGACCGCCACGGCGCGGAGGCCGCGCACAGTTGTGCTGGACTCGCAATCGACCAGCGAGAGCGATTCGGGCCCCGGCCCCGGAAGCTCCGTCAGCAAGTCGACGAGGGTGTCGTTGTAGATCTCAAGGTACGAGGCGGTCACCAAGGTTTCGTACTGGGGCTGGCTAGCTGCGTGGCTGAACACGCGGGCGATGGCGCGAGGCGCGACGCCGCGCTGTGCAAACTGACTCATTGAGCCAGTGTGCGTGTACGTCTTGCCGCTTCCCGTCTGTCCAAAGCAGAGCACCGTGCCATTGTAGCCGCGGAGCACGGCGTCCACCACCGGTGCGACGGTCTCGTCAAAGATCTTCTCCTGGCTCGACTCGCCACCAAAGACGTGATCGTATGTCCACTCCCACGACGACCTCTGGTTGTCGGACCTTGCGCTCGCGAGCTCTGGCGGCAGCACCACCCGGACGGTGCTGCTCGCGGGGCGGATCTGAATGTGGTCCGGGTTGCTCACCGAACGGGCGCGGACCGCCACCGTCAAGCGCTCACGGACCGCCTGCATGCAGCCGCGTGGTGCCCGAAACGTCGGATGAAACGATGTCTGTTTAAGCGCGGGCGGCCGGGACGGCACGTGGTGACGTGGAGCGCTACGTGAGCGGTGACGGGCGCGGAGGAGCGAATGAGAGCCGTGTTCACCACCGACCACCGTCAGATCTAGCTCCGCTAGCTAGGCTTCAGTGTCTGAGACTTGGGCTGTTGGGCAACTTAGACAAACAAACAACTTTTTTTGTAGATAGTAGCGCACAATGGCACCCTTGCTCCTTCCTTGCTTGCATCAAGTGCATCAATTTATCACTTCTGATCCCCCCGGGGGGGGGGGGGGGGGGCTCGTCGACCCCCCCAGGGACAAACAGAGTGAGCAGCCGCGGCGCCGCGGTGGAGCGGCGGCACTTGGCTTATATCGTTTCTTTGTGCTGGTCGCTGGCGGCTCCGGTTACGCTGGTCGCTTATTAGAAAGTAGAAAGAAATAAAAAGAAATCCGCGCGGTTTTCTGACGCGGCCAGAAAAGACACCAGAGCATAGCTCCTCGGCGACATGGCCCTGTCCGCGATGCCCCTCTTGCCCTCCGACGATGCGGCCGAGCCCGTGGTCGGGACCCCGCTCCTCTCGGGTCTAGTCTACACGACCAAGCCAAAGACTGCCGTGAGCGAGAACGGAGTCACCTACCAGATCCTCGGCGACGAGGCGCAGTCGGTGGAGGTGATGCTGCGGCCGGGGCAGGTGATGCGCATGGAACCTGGCAAGATGGTGCACATGCACGCGTCACTGATGCCCGAGATTGGCACGGACGGCGGCTTTGGCCAGGCGTGCATGCGGGCCTGCTGCGCGGGCGGCTCGTTGTTTCGCCTGATGTTTGAGAACAAGACGTTCCAGGACGTCCCGATGGCAGCGTCGCCCTCGTGGCCAGCCAAGGTTGTCCCGTTTGACATGTCCAACTACAACGGGCTGCACCTCAGTGCGAGCGCGTGGTTCGCCTCTGTCGCGACCACCACCGAGTTCTCCATCAAGCGCGCGGACACCGTCGGCGCCGCTTGCTGCGGCGGGCAGGGTCTTTTCTACAATGTCATGACGGGCGACGGCGTGGCCTTCCTCTGCGGCGGCGGCGCGATCGTTGAGAAGAGCCTCGCGCCAGGAGAGGTCTACGTGATCGACACCTCCTCGCTCCTAGCCTGGGAGCCCTCGGTCAACCTGTCAGTCCGCCGCGCGGGTGGCCTGCTCATGTGCTGCTGCGGCGGCGAGGGCCTCTTCCTGAATGAGATGACGGGCCCGGGACGGCTGTGGATCCAGCCGATGCCGCTCAAGAAGCTGAAGGCCGCGGTCGCCATGCCGGGCGGCGGCGGCGGCGGCGGTGGCGGTGGCGGCGGCGGCGGCGATGGCGGTGGCGGTGGCTAGAGAGCGAGGAGGCGTTCGTCGCCAGTGTTTCGCGCACCAAGAAGTCTCGCGGTGGGTCGCTACGTAGCTCCGCGTGCGCCGGTCGGCTTCCTGTTTGAGGTGTGAACGGTCAAGGACCAAGGTGATCGATGCCGTTTCGTCATGTGCGTGTATGTTTTTGTCCCACTACTGAAAACTGATAACTGTCACCACACACACACACACACACACACACACACACACACACACACACACACACACACACACACACACACACACACACACACACACACCGCTCACCCACGCGCACTGCCACTGGCGGCCTTGCACTTTGAATGCCGTGGCGCGTGTGGCCCGTGGCCGTGCGGGGGCTCCTGTCGTCATACGTGGAGATGCGAGGGTTGCCCCCCCTTGCCCCACCACCTCGTGTGTGTGGAGAAGTTTACCTTACCTTACCTTACCTTATAACTGTCGAGGTCCTGCTCACCTCGTAGTGCTAGTCTTCGGCCCACACGGCGCGCTCGGGCGGCTGCCGCAGCGCGTGGTCGCTCGGCACGCTCCAGCCGAAGCCGTAGACCACGCGCGCGTCTCCGCCCTGCAGCGGCGCCGTTTGGTGCATGTGCCTCGACGCGGTGAAGACCCACATGTCGCGCTCGCCCACCTCGAGCGCCTCCCCCTCAATGACGGGCCGGCCGGAGGGGTGCTGCAGCGACACGACAATATTGCAGCGGAGGTGGTGTCGCTCCGGCCGGCTGCCCGGCACGCCATGGTCGTACGCGTCGGTGTGCCGGTGGATGAAGCCTCCCGGCTGGATGAGAGAGATGACGCGGCCAAGGATCTGGTCGGGAGGCACGCCTTCAAGCCAGAGGCAACGCTCAGCCCGGCGCGTGAGCGCCTTGAGGAGCGCGTCGACGTAGAGTGCGGGCGCGTCGTCGGCCTTGGCGTAGTAGCGGCAGGGACCGCACGCGTTTGGATGCAGCTCGCCTCGCTGCAGGTGCGTGTTGGCCTTCTTGAGGAGCGCAAGCCGCTCCGCCTCGGAGATGAAGTCGCGAACGACCATCCAGCGGCGGCGAGGCTCGAGTTGGACGGCGGCAGCGGGCGCGGCGCTGCAGCGGCGCTGCGACGAGCGCCGTCTCCAGGATTGCCGAGTGCGAGCGCGCATCCGAACCGCCTAGCCGCGATCGAGCAGGACCGAAAAAGAAGAATTTTCCCGACGCGCGGGTTCGCACCTATTTCTCCCTGGGGTTGTCTGTTTTCTTTCTTTCTTATTTCTTTCGCACGCGTATGGAAAGGGTGGGTCAAGACAGATACGGGCTGGAAGGGGAGAGGGAAGTACTACGACGCGAAGTGGGTCAAGAATTTTACAACAAAACTGTGGGTCAAGAAAGCCATAACGCGGCTGGTGCTCGTGGAAACTTTGGGAGGCATTGCGCCGCCCACCAAGCAGTTCCTCCACGTGTTCGCCAAGGAGGCGGCGGGCACCAACACGGACCGGACGGTGTACGGGGCGGCGTCGGCGAGCCCTCGTCGTCCACCACACGCAGCAGATCTCCAAGGCGGCGGTGGCGGGCGACGCCGACCAACATCAACAAGCAGGCGCGCAAGCAAGGAGCGTACCGACCGACTGGACAAACAAAAAAATCTCCTCCGACTGGATCAACAAGCAAAAGAACAAGCAAGCGACGAACGGCTTCTTGTCCTCGGCCCCAGTGGGGGAGCTCTGCAGACGGGCCCCTCCACCCTTCCTGTAATCATGTAGTCCCCACATTCGCAATCGTGGGTGGGATCGCTTGTCATGTGAGAGAGAGAGTGCGTCGTGTTCTTGTTGCGTCTCCGCTTTCTCTTCCGCGCTTTGCCTGTTGTGTGAATAATGCGTGTGCCGAGAGAGTTCCGTTGTAAAGTTCTCTTTCGCGGTGTATCTGTGTTAGTGCCAGTGCGCGCCAGTCCCGTGCCCAGTTGTGCGAGGCATGCGTCGTAATCTTCTCTTTCGCTGGGGGATGATCGTGCGCTGGGGGCATCGTTGGGGAGAGAGGGAGGGATGGAGGGAGGAGGTCAAAGCTGGGCAGCTTCAGCTGCTCAGCGAGGACCTGGTGTTGCTGCTGCGCAACGCTGGCTGGGGGGGCAGGAAGTCCTGCCACGAACGCCGGCGGGGGGCGCTGCGGGAGCGGAGGAGGTGGGAGTTGGATGATGGGGATGATGGTTGTGTCGGCGAGCACTACGGTGTTGGCGGGTTCGATCATCTGCCTGAGGACGACTTCCTTTATGGCGAGGGCGACGGCTTCTAAGGAAGCCCTTGCCTGTCCTTGTCTGTCGTGTGAATCGTGCGTGTGATAAAGGCCTTTATCATGATTATACAGGAAGGGCGGCGACGCTGTGGTGCGCAGCCCTTGTCCCTCTCTGCCCCCCGTGTTGCGCGCGCCGCCGGGCCTCTGTTCCACGTGCCCGTCCCCAGCAAGGACAACATGCTAGCCCAGCAGGCCGCTCCCACCGCCGCCCGCGGCGTAGGCAAGGCGGCAAAGGGTGGCAAGGGCGGCGGCAAGGGCGGTGGCAAGGGTTGTGGCCGTGTGGCGCACCAGACCCACTTTGCGCCGCCGCCCTCAACGCCCGATACTCGGTTGAGCCGGCGGAGCGACGGCGGCAGAGTTGCGGCCGCCGGCGACCTCACACGGCGTCGAGCGCCGTAGAGACGGCCCCGAGAGCCGCCGCCAGGTGTGCCACGACCGCGGTCGCGAGGCTCGTGGCGATGGATGCGCCAGACCCGCTTGCGCCGCCGCCCTCAACGCCCGATACTCGGTCAGAGCCGGCGGAGCGACGGCGGCGGAGTTGCGGCCGCCGGCGACCTCACACGGCGTCGAGCGCCGTAGAGACGGCCCCGAGAGCCGCCGCCAGGTGTGCCACGACCGCCGCCGCGAGGCTCGTGGTGATGGATGCGTTAGACCCGCTTTGCGCCGCCGCCCTCAACGCCAGATACTCGATCAGAGCCGGCGGAGCGACGGCGGCGGAGTTGCGGCCGCCGGCGACCTTCCCCTCGACCACGCCGCCGACCCGTCGACAAGCACGCGTGGACTGCCATCGAGAAGAAGGAGAAGGAGGGCGGCGCATCCGGAGCCCGCGGACGCAGCGGGCGCGGGTCCGGGCGCGGGCGGGCGCGCGGGAACCCCGCCAGCGGAGGCGACAATGCCTCTGGCGGCTCTGCAGGCGGCGCGCGGCGCGCCCCTCGCCGGTCTCCCGCACGCTCCTGAGGGCCGAGAGGGCCGAGAGGCGGGGTCGGTGACCCGGGGGCATGGGTGGTGCGGCCCGCGCCGCGCGCGGGCGCGTGACAGCCCGTGAGTGCCGAGATCGGGTCCGTACTTCGACGTAGTATGGGCCCCCGGGGGCCCTCTACAGCAGCGGCGAAGTGAGCGTGTTTGTGGTGTTGGTGTGGCGTCTGAGCTTGGATCTGTGACTAAAGCCGGTTACCACTGATGGATCCCCACCCGAATAACACACAGTGAGCGCCCCAGCGCTTCACTACGCCCTCCGCGCGAAATCGCTAGTGGTGCTTTGTGGTAGTATATTGTACTTTTGAGTAGTATGGGTACGGTTCCCGAGACCGAGCGACGAACGGCTTCTTGTCCTCGGCCCCAGTGGGGGGTGCCCGCGCCGCCTAGCTCTGCAGACGGGCCCCTCCACCCTTCCTGTATAATCATGTAGTCCCGTTTTGTCACATTCGCAATCGTGCGTGGGATCGCTTGTCATGTGAGAGAGTGCGTCGTGTTCTTGTGGCGTCTCCGCTTTCTCTTCCGCGCTTTGACTGTTGTGTGAATAATGCGTGTGCCGAGAGAGTTCCGTTGTTAGTGCCAGTGCGCGCCAGTCCCGTGCCCAGTGTTGTGCGACGGAGTGCGTTTGTAAAATTCTCTTTCACTGGCCTGGCTCTGCCCGCCCGCCTGCGGGCAGCAGGGGAGGCGCTGGAGCGGCGCCTCTGGGCGTGTGGGGCGAGGGCCAGGCTGTCCCCCCGCAGTCTCAAGGTGGCCGGGTCTCGCTGCTGCGGCGAGGTGCGCCCTCAGCACTCATCAGATAAGGAGGTCCGCACGCTGCGAGCTCGGATACCCAAGTGAGGTGCTCATCCTCGGGACGGTCTCGGGACGGTCCTCGGGACGGTCTCTTGGGACGCTCTTCTGTGGGGCGAGCGGGCAGAGGGGAGAGGGGAGAGGGGAGAGGGCGGGAGGGGGAGGAGGAGGGGAGGGGAGGGGGGTTCCGCCCGCCTCAGAGGGAGACGGCGCAGCGGCCCCGGCTCACCACTCGCCTCGAGCCCGCCCTCCCTCGCAAGCAACAGCCAGAAATGATCCAGGAGATGGACCCCCCGTCGCCGTTTCGGCTGGAGTCCTTCGGAAACATGAGCCGCCAAGTCGAGCATGCGATCCAAGAGCAGCAGCAGCGCATGCAGCACGCCCACCGCCGCGTCGACGACGCAGGCGGGCGCATCCGGCAGCTCGAGAACGGCGCGTGCACGCGTGGGCCGGCGCCGCGCATCTGACGCCACTGCACTGACCGCCAGAGGCCCCTCCGCCGCAGAAAGGAGGGAGATCGAGGCCCAGATCTCGCACTTCCACGCCGCTGACAAACGGTCGGAGAAGGAGCAGCAGCTGGTGCTCGAGGCCCTGAAAGAGCAGACCCAGGAGGCGGCTGCGAAAACCGCGGAGCTCGAGGCTGAGTGCAAGGGATTCGAGGAACGCGTGGAGCAGGACCGGCTGGCGTACGTGAAACAGCTCTACGGCAATGCTCT